AAGCTGTTCAGCAGGCCATTCGTGCTTCCCCATCTGGAAACCTGGCAGACAGGCCGGCAGACATGAAACCGGGACAGAGAAGACGGCAGAACTCTTCCCCAGACGCGGACAGGCAGAGAACAGCCTGCAGACAGCTCGACATTATTTAAATAGGTAGTTCGCGTTCTCCACCATTGTGGCAGGAGGCCCAGTACTCAGCGGTGCAGCACTGACCTCCAAAAACTCTGCACTGTCACACTTTGCCCCTAAACTGAGTTCGCCTCTGCCCCTGGCCGCTTCCCTGTCCCAAGGTCCCCACCTGGTCTCTCATTTTTCTTCTCTGCCTTTAGTGTCAACCCCCTTCTTCTCCCCACTGTCTGAATTTCCACAGTGAGTGCTTCCCAGCACAGCCCTCTGGAAAGACCGAGGGTAGCACCCGGCACAGAGGAAGTTCTGATGAGGGTCTGTTGAAAGACTTAAGAAACATTCTAAAGCCCTGTGAACTCTGGTATAAATGCCTTAGAGGAACCCAAAGGATTATTCTGGGGAAAAGAGAATTAGTGGGAATCGAGGCTTCACTCCAAAACACCGAGTCTCTCTTGGGGGGACTTGAGCCCTCCTCAAGCCGGGTTGGGGGAGAAGTTTGGCGGAGTGAAGGAGGCCGGGTCACCGTGTCTCACACAGTCTCCCCAACACCGGCTTTTCCGGTTTCTGTCTTGGCCAAGACTTTGGCAGGCGTTCTCTCATTCGGTCCTCACGGTGACTTGGGTGAGGCTCCGCACGGCCTGGTAAGGACAGGACAGATGCAGACCTCAACAAAAGCTCTTTCCCTGCATGCTTCTTTGTTGGACGGCGGCAGATACAGGAGAACGTTTTCTGTCTCTGCTTTCGGGGCAACAGGCCCGAGACAAGCCATTTTCCAAAGGCCACCTCCCAGAGAAGATTCCTCCCTGAGGATCGTAAGGGGGGGGAACTAAGTAACTGCCTCCTAGTCTACCTTCTGGAAAGTTTCTCCCGTCAGGGGGAGCCGGGCCAACGATGATCCAGGTTGTGAGACAAAACCGAGCCTCCGGCCTTCACGGGGTTGGTGAGAAGGAAAGGCTGCCTTCCGACGTGGGGAGTAGACAGCCTCTGAAGCAGGGCACCCCGAGGTTCTCAGGGAATCCGGGCCCAGGGTTTCCATGGGGTCCCGTCATAAGCCACCCAGAAGCCTACGGGCTTGGGTCCTTATCCTCCCGTAGGCCCCTTCAGGAGCATCGCACAGGTGCCGGAAAGGGGAGCAGAGCCTCTGTTGTGTCTTTTCATCACCAACCACTTCTTTTTCTTAATGTTTATTTATTTTGCAAGAGAGAGAGCACACGAGCAGGTGAGGGGCAGAGAGAAGGAAGAGAGAATCCCAACAAGGCTCCCCGCTGTCCGCACACAGCCTGATGCAGGGCTCAACGCCATGACCCTGGGATCGTGGCTGGAGCCAAAGTCAAGAGCAGGACACTCAACTGACTGAGCCACCCAGGCGCCCCCATCACTAACCAATGTTAACGACTGGTTTGAATCACTCGAGCCATGCCAGCCCTCCCCTGCTCCCCCGCACCCCTCCCCTCTACAGCCACCCTCACCCTTCTTCTCCCCTGCCTGCTCCGTGTTTGTGATTCTGCAGCTTGTGGCCAAATGTTTAAGTGACTCTTGTCAAATAAGGTGCTTTCAGAAAAGATCGAAAGTTGCCAGGAGGGAGGGGAGGAATGCCCAAAGCTCTATTCAGTTGACACCCTCAGCCTGAGGAGGCTTGGTTCCTGAGGGCGATGGTGGATGTGGGGAGATGATCACTCACTTGGGTTCTGGAAATTTCACGGGGGGGGGGGGGAGTTTCAGGGTCCTTTCTGGGTCTAAGCGATGGGCTCTCCCAAGTCAACTCGGTCATCAGTCATCCTTCGTTCGTTCTTCTGTTAAACATCTGCTAGACCCCTTGTGTCAGGCACTGTGGGGACTTCAAACTAAAGATCAAGCTGTCCCTTAAGGATTTTACCTTCTACTGGGGGTGATAAGTGAGACCTAAGTATCTATACTACAAAGTGGTGTGTGTGTCAGGGCACCTGGGCGGCTCAGTCAGTTGAGAGACCAACTTCGGCTCGGGTCACAGTCTCACGGTCCGTGAGTTCGGGCCCCGCGTCAGGCTCTGTGCCGACAGCTCGGAGCCCGGAGCCTGCTTCGGATTCTGCGTCTCCCTCTCCCTCTGCCCCTCCCCGGCGCAGGCGCTGTCTCTCTCTGTCAAAAATCAAATAAATATTAAAAAAAAATTAAAAAAAAAAAAACCCAAAGTGGGTGTGTGTCTACAACCAAGGCATCCAACCCCCATGAGCTTTGTTTTAGGGAAACAAACCCTCAGAGAATGCACTGGAGTCCACCAGTTTTCCTCTGACCGGAGACTGGGGAGCCGAGGCTGCTTTGGTTGCGTATGCTCAACAGTCGTCAAGTGGACGAAATGAAAGTATGATGGCAATAATAAATGACCGAGCAAGCGTCGAAAGCGTCAATAATAAGTCATTTAGTAAGCGCCAGGATTTTATCTGCGTGGTGTTATTTCGTCTTCACGAAAACCTACATAGGTATGTGCGATTATTATGCCCGTTTTGCAAATGAGAAAACCGAGGCTGTTGGAGGCTATGAAACCCGCCCAAGGTGACACAGCTGGGGGTGGTTGGAGCACTTGGTCCGGCAGCATATCCCATGCTGTTAGCCTTTCTGCTCTGCCGATCGCCACGTGAGAGTGAAAATGGACCCCGACAAAAATCCACTTCAGGGAGGAATAATTTCATGGCTTGGCCACACGCACTACCAAAACCCCGGTGCAGGCTCGCTCTAGCAACACGTGTAGGTGACGGGACAGAAGGTAGGAGAGGCGAGCCCTGTGTGGTTCTCTAACTTTTACCACACGGTCTTACGCCCCGCGCCTGTCGTGTCCAAATGATCTTCACAGGGCAGCCTTCCTGAGGTGGCGAATGAGGGAGTGACAGGCACACTTGCCCTGCGGGACAGTGGGGCCAGCTGCCCGGCTGACCGCCGGCAGAGAATTCACAGGACGCGGAATGCCTTCAGCACCGGGACTCCACGGGCTCAGGTCAGCTTCTCTTGCCGCACTGATTTTTACTCGAGGGAAATGATCACCCTGGGAACCCTGTCCCTGTGGTGATCTGAGTGCCTCTGACAAACCAGAACAATGGAACAACAGCCACAGGGAAACCACAGCCTGGCTCAGTTCTGAGAAGGAACATTTTTTCTTTTTTTCTTTTTTTCTTTTTTTTTTTTTTAGAGGAAGCCAGAATTGTAGTGATGGTAAGAAAGAAGACACCAGAAGCTTCATGGACAACTTTTAGTGCTTTCTATTGAAAAGCTCTCACTCACACTGCCAGAATGAGGGAGGCTGTCATAGACCATCTTGGACACTCCACTGCCCCAGAGCCCGGCAGCCCATTCCAGTCACGTGGCTCCCAACACGTGCCAGGCGTCTTCCCAAGGGGGTACTGCTTCCGATAAGATGTGGGCAACGGTAGGGCGGAGAAGGCTAGCGCATCAAGGGCATTTTCATCTGCGTTCCTGAGCTCCTGGAGCTGAGGGCTCTAGGGTCCCGGCACCTGTCGCAAGTTCCAGGGACAGCAACCCAGGCTGATCTGCATGGCTGGCCAAGCACCGAGCCCAGGTCTCAGCTCTCTCCACACGGAAGCACGGAGATGGACGCAAGAGTAAGAGTACCGGGGTCCATGTGTGTCTGGTGGATGAATGACCACATACACGCATATTTGATGCATGAATGGATACGTGAATAGATGAGCCAAAAGGACAGAAGCTTTCCAATCAGAGCCACGAAATATATTTAACAGCTAGTGTTGTCAGGTCCACAAGATCGTTTCTAGCACTTCCAAAGAATCATGTGAAACCCGTCACCACCGATGGTTTTCTAGTTTGTGTGTCAGCACAGCCCCTCCCACCCGTCAGCACGGAGCACTTATTCTTTATCTGTGATCGTTTCTGGAAACGTACCGGTACTTGGGAAAATGGGGTTGTGTTCCAGCAGCTGTCAGGCCAGGACGCGGAGATAACCGCCTGCTCCGCTCACTTGAGAGACGGATCGGGCTCCGTGGCCGGGCGGGTGGGGAATGCAGAGAATCCGAAGGAGCTCAAGACTTATTTTGGAAGGACTTGTGAGTGACCCCCACCCCTCTTGCGGGGGGAGCTCTCTGTGGCCAGGTGGAGAACAGCGTCCTCAATATCAGCTGGAGGTGGCAACCTTCAGGCCCCAGTGTGATTGGGGGGGGGGGGTGGGAGAGAGGAAGTGGGGCAAAGGAGGTGGGACAAAGGAAGAAATGATCACATACTGTCCAAAACCAACAGTTAGTGAGGAAGGCGCTGTGAAGGGAAAAGGGGCCGATCCCCAGAGTGAGGGCCCAGCGACAAGGAAAGGGTGACCACGCCCGCTGTCGAGGGGAGGGTCTGTGGACCAGAAAGGAGGGGTTGCCTTCTGTGAAGAATTAGAACGCGGTGTCTCAGGCAGGAAAAATGCTCGTCCAGGGAGTTTGAGGCCCAGTTTGAGGCCCAGTTGGCCTGTCACCACCCTGTGGTGGTGCCTCCATATACCAGGACCCACCGTGGGCACTGGGGATAAATCTGACCCAAATCTGCTCTGACCAGGTAGAGCTTATGGTTTAGCGGGAGGTAGGAAGACTCCTGGGTAAGTGCCTCCATCCATTCACGCTCTCTTCTATCCAACTCTACATTCGTAGAAGTCTGTCGGGAACAGTGTTCCCCCAAGTTTCCTTCAGCTGAAAGATTCTGAATCATGTGAATTTTAACGGTGAGCGTAATGTGATTTCTACAAATATAACGAAGTCTTGACTGTTTGCATACAAATGGAATACGGTGTTGGGAATCTAGGTCAGTCAAAGCATGGCCTGGCTTGGTAACGGTGGCAGCCGGGGTCTTGGGTGTCTCTGTCGTTAGTTCACTTTGGATTGTTCTCTTCTCTTCAGGTACCAGACGTGCTCCAACAATGGGCTGGTGGCGGGGTTCCAGAGCCGCTATTTTGAGTCCGTGCTGGATCGGGAATGGCAGTTTTACTGCTGTCGCTACAGCAAGAGATGTCCATATTCCTGCTGGTGAGCCTGGCGGAAGGAGCCTGGAGTCCAGAGGGGAGCTTGGGGGGTGCTCTGGTCCATGTTTCTGGCTTCAGATAAGCCTGGGCGGTCACAGACAAGCTTAGAATGCAACAGCCAGCAAATAGAAGGAAATGAACAAATAAAATTAAGGAAAAGGCTAGAATAATATCCAAGCAGGGAGGGACCTTACAGGTCGCCAACCCAATGCGCCCACACCCCTCTTTTGGCAGGAAAGAAAACAGACAGGACGATAGGACAAGGAAGTCACTTGTCCGAAGTCACCCAGCTGTTTCATGGGGATGTCACCTCTAGAACTTGTCCCAAGTTCCTGGGTGTGCAAACAAGCCAGGCATTTCCGCCTTGGACAAATGGATCCCAAAGTGGCAACATTTGAAGGGTGGCTCACTCAAGTGATTTCTCTCTCTGTGGTGTGATGCCAGAAAGGGCAGCCTTGCGGGTTATGCTGTCTTCTGCAGCCAAAGTTCCTCCACAGATGCCTGCGTGGCTCTGAGGATGGGCAGTTCCAAAGGCTTAACATTTTTCTGTCCAAAGTTATGGTGACTAGAAAATCCAGATTCCACATGATGGAGCAGGGGCCTCCTCCAACTCCCCACAGCTGCCTCCATAAAGCAGTTCTTACCCCACCGTGGCAGGTGCACAGGCATGACTAGGACATAGGCTAGAACTGTGACAGGTCCCAAAGGCAAGGACCTAAAGCCCGTGCGTGGTGGCACAGCGTGGAAACCCTGATGGGGCAACAAGAAGCTTCAGGTTGTGTCTCTGTGCTGACGTGTCCTCTCCCTCCCTCCCCTCCTCCCCCAGCCTTCCTCCTCGTGCACTGTGACATCTCTAGAAAGTCACTTTCCTTCTCTACGGGGTCTCAAGTCTAGCCATCTTTTCTGGATCTCTGAGGTTTTTAAGAATCTCATGAAAGCTATAGACCCTGTCTTCGGCGTGTTTAAACAAAAGTTTACAGAGAATTTCCAGGAGTCCTTAAACTCCCGAAAGCCACCAAAAGATCTTTGAGGTTGTTTTGAGCCCTAAAAATTCCTTGACTCCAAAGGTGCTTTTGCAAAGGGCAACCAGATGCCCAGAATTGTTTCCAAAGAGAGGATGAGGGTCCAAAAGATGACTGGGTCCCACTGAGAGAGAGAAGGAGGTAGGAGCCTGCCCACTGTGACCTGAGAAATGGGGCTTTCCCCAATCTTCCCGGCCCGAGTCGGCCGACAGAGGCCACCCCCACCATGAAATCCGCCTCCCTTGTGGCAAGGCATTCGGAGCCAGTTACATTGCAAATAATTATCTGAAAGAGCAAGCCACAAACTAATAGTCAGTTAATCCATCACCACATTAGCAAGATTTCCCCTTAGGCTCCAAAGGAGCCACCAGGGTTGCAGGATACCGGGTGGCCCAGAGGAGCATGTTCAGGAGAGAGGGGGTAAAGAGGAGTCAGCCCAGAGCGGGCCTCCCTGGGCAGGATGGACACCCGCCCTAATTTTGTGAGGACTGAGATAATATATACCCGGTATTGCCACCGGCTATGATCTGTCCCCTTCAACCCTCCCAGCTACCGTGTAGACCCAGCCTCCTGGCCAACTAATAAATGCTGAGACCCCAGAGGCATCCAGATCGTTATATCTCAAAATTCCATTAATTTTCTCATGATGCCCCGGACTTCCCTTGATCGCTGGAGCGCTGGTTCCAGCCTCCATCCTGCTCCTCACAAGGGCTGGATGTCCTTCCTCTCACGCACTTTAGAAACGACTCTTTGAGTTCCCTTAGATGCAACCCACGACTTGCTAGGATGTGAAGAATTTCATGAACGGGGACGTAGATACAAAGGAACAAACGCCTTGGGTTAAAGACGGGAAAAGGGAGAAGAGCAACTTTTCTTCAGTTGCCGGAGACGTTCAGGGCCCCATGGCAAAACTCACCCCGAGCCTTGCCTGCGGTGCCCCCCCTCCCGCCCCCCCACCTTAGAGGGTTGGCAGAACCAGTGGGGGGAAAGTGGAGAGAATGACTCAGAAAGACACGGCAAGTCAACTTGGAGGCAAGCCCCTCCGAGGAATGCTTTGCTTAGCTGCATCTATTCTGACTGCATGGTGTCAGAGCCGAGAGCCACCATGGCTGTCCCAAGGAAAACTTGGAGAAGCTGCAAAGTGAGATTGCCACAGGCACTCACTATCCCACTGGGCTGTCTAGACATCTTAGTGGCATCTTTGAATTGCCTGAGTCATGACGTTCCTTATATCATATGTCTTTAAATTGACTGAGTCATGACGTTCCTTCTATTATATGTCTTTCTAAACTGAATGAAGTCTCTAGGGCAAAAATTAGGTCTCGTTCGCCAAGGACTGCCTGGCACAAAACAGGCCCTTCATCAATTTCTAGGATGAACGTTGCAAGCCCATAGGAACAGGAACCGTGGTGAAACCTGACACTGTTAGGATGACGTTTTCTAGTTGAAAAGGATTTTTCCACGCGCATTGTTTTCTTTGATCCTTTTAACAGCCTGTCGGGGTGAGGAGTGTTTTCGCACACCTTCCCACAGTGAAAACCGCTGATAACCTTCCAATCTGTAGCCTCCCTTTCTGTCACTTAAACTGGCTTGAATTACCTCCCCGGGAACTAGACGCATGTGTGGGGGGACATTTTTTCTCTCCCACTTTGAAAGCTGATCTGCTTCACTGAGCCCGACACTGTTTGGAAGTCGCTAAATGAGCATCTATCCTCTTTGTGTGTGCAGGCCTTTAAGGATTCAGAAATAGCACCGCTCTTGCAGGGAGAGAAAAAAAAAAAAAACACAAATCACCCCACCACCTCCCAGATGAGCGAGAGATTCATTTGTTTAGTTCGGACCAAGGTGCTGCTCTCGCTTCAGACTGAAGTTTCTCATTAGAGAGTAGAGCAAAAGAGAGAATTTCTGATAGACTCAGACACGCTGTCACTAAACAGTCCCCACTGGATGGGTTCCATATGTACATCTTACACGTCTTTATTTACATGTGAGAATTCAAAATCTTTGTCCGGTTGTCTGCAAACCACAAACACATGTCACTGACGGAGCCACAACCCTTCAGAGCCTGTGTGTTAATAATCCCCAGGCTCCCAGCAGCTACAGCTGCTGCCTGCCATGTACCAGAACGTCCCCCATCGGCAGGTGACGCCGGCCACGTGTAGACGATGGGTCCCAGGAACCAACGGTTTTGAAATGAGCATCTGTTTCCTTTTTCTCATGGTTCTTCTCCAGACCTGTGGCCTTTCATTACGTTCATTGCATAGTATGTTTGGATGGACAAAGAATAATGTTCTTCCTCAGAATCAATATAGACGACATGTTCAGTTCTCCTCCAACCCAGACGTCCCATGACTCTCGCACGTTATAATCTCTGCTGCCCAGCTCCCCTCTCCCTGAAGCTCGAGTCTGATGCCAGAGAATATTTTCCTTAATGCCTAGATAGCTCGAGTCCACGACAACGAAATCAGCTTACCAGAAAACTCTTCTCCCCCCACTCTAGAGCACTCGATCAAACTAACCTTCAACTCTGGGTCTCATGGTTCAGATTTCAATACAAGATGGGTGGTGTTTGCCTGAAGTCATGGCAGGGACAAGAATGACGTCACAGGCACCTCCACTGCTGTGTCTGTCACCCCCGCCCCTGCTCAGCGCTGTGCCCAGAGTCTGGGAAGAAAGGCGGCTTCTACACTGGTTCCTCCAAGCCATTGGGAGCCAGTATCAGAAAGGTGGAGACACCCACGCTTTGAGACAATAGGACCGGATGTTGCATTTTTTTTAATACGAAATTTATTGTCAAATTGGTTTCCATACAACACCCAGTGCTCATCCCAACAGGTACCCTCCTCAATGCCCATCACCCACCCACCCCTCCCTCCCACCCCCCATAAACCCTCAGTTTGTTCTCAGTTTTTAAGAGTCTCTTATGTTTTGGCTCCCTCCCTCTCTAACCACTTTTTTCCCCTTCTGCTCCCATTTTAAAGCAACTCACATTGAGTTTAGTCACTTCCTCTATGAACAGTGGCTGCCTCGCATTGCCTGAGGCCCAAAGCGCTCCTTTAGGGGGACAACAGCCGCTCTGAGCCTGAGCAGAATCAGTCACACCTTTCATCAGCCCGAGCGGCTGTTCACAGTGTTTTGCACTTGAGAAATGTATGTGCTGCCTGCATGGCAGTGGTGCGTTTCCCCCCACCACCTCCACCCTAGGCTCAAAGTTCAAAAGCAGCAATTTCAGAGGTGTGGCTCATTGGCGAGTGAGCGTCGGCCACCCCAAGGCCAGGCCCCGTAGCTCCTCAGAACAAGGCAAGCCTCGCGGCAATAGACGTAATCTGTTGCGTTATTCTAGCTAGTCCGCTTGCCTTTACTGGAGTCTAGAGACCATCACTCCTTCCATTAATTTTGCCTCAGCAGCCAGTGAATGTGAATGGATATAAAATAGGTTACCATTTAGAGACTTGGATTCAGTTCCCAGGAAGGATGACGACGGTACCCTTTATGCCTTGAGCACCTAGCGTGCGCCCGCTGTTTACTTCAAGCAGGTCCAGCTGCCTCCCAGCCCTAGGCTCCGCACGCAGTGCTGAGCTCTCTCAATCCAGAGAAGAAACTAAGACCCACAGGGGCGAAGTACCAGGGAGTAAGGCGGCGGGGCCTCTAGAAGGGAAAACAGCAGAGAAGGGGGTGATGTGAGCTGGGGCAGAGATGTGGGACGCGGAGTTGTTCCCCTCAGTGTTGAAGACCGGGGCGACCGTGATGCAATGTGGCTGATGAGAGCCAGGAAGCGTGGAAATAAATGTGTTTGCTGAGCAGCCCTGGGCGTGGCCAGTGAGCTAGAAATTCAGTTCCAGGAGAGCAATTGGGAAAATATTTAGAGGTTCTCCTCTTCTGACTGAAGTCAGAGATATCTCTGGAACCGCATTTCCATGTGCTGTGATACGTATTTGAACCTTTTGCGATCTAAATCTCCAAAACACCAGGAGAAGGTCGA